GAACCGCGGCCCCCGATGCTCCTGCTAAGCTTATTCTAAGTAGGTGCTCTAGACCACTGAGCCATCCCTCCAGCCCCTCCTCCCATATCTTAGGCACCTATTTCAGAGGCAGACATCTCCTGTACACCCAGCTTTGTCCCTGATCCAGTGCTTGTGTGGGTCTGACTTGGTTCTTGTCGTCAACAAATGAGAGATGAAAAACATCAACAATGCAAAGATAGGGACAGTGCAGGGTCAAACACGTAGCAGAAAGAGCTTTGTGTGGCAACCATGGCCACAGAGCCCAGAAGGAGGAGATGGGTGCACGGAGAGCTTTGCTGCTTGCATAGGAGTTCGTTGCATGAAGAGGGGTGAAGTAACAACAGCTGTCCTAACTGCTACCATTCACAGATCATCCACTGCACACCAAGGGCTCTGCCAAGTGCTTTTGCCCTGCATTAGATTATTTCATCCCCCCAGAAATTCTTGGGCAGGGATAGGTCGTCTGCAGAGAAGGACCCGAGGCTAGGATTCACTCTGCATGAGACACTTGGGATCACCTCTCATGGCACTCCCCACCTGATCCGCCCTGCCCTGTCGGGCTGGCCCGTTTCCATTTCTTCCTGTGCTCTCCAAGGGCTTGCGTGGCTCCCCAGGGGACTCTGTACATCACGCTTAGTTCACCTATCATGATGCTGCCTTCTTAAGATGGGGAAACGGAGGCCCTGAGAGGGGCAGACCAGGCCACAGGAGCAAACAGGAATGGGGCTCAGGGACTCCTCTCTAACAAATCCTCTCTTGGGCTTGCCTCGGGAGAAGTACTACTACCAGGGAAGAAATCAATGCGCACACTCAATTAAAATGATGAATCCAGCCTCCGACCAAGGCCGCCCCAGAGGCCCAGGGCCCAGGAGTGAGGGAGTCGCCATATGATTGGCTGAGACACTATAGGAGCCTGGAGACCTTATTTCTGGGGCTGGGCAGTGGCTCTCCAGCCTCCCCACACCTTTGCTGGCTGCTTACCTGGGCAGCAGGAGCTCTGCACTACCATTTTGCTGGCTGTCAGGGCCTGGGCAGTGGGTAGGGGCACAGCAGCCTGTAGGTCTTGATTGTCAGACAGAGTAGGCAGAGGACAAGCCTGCCCAGCCCTAGGTGGGGACACAGTGTGGATAGTCAGGCCTATGACCAGGAGGCAAGGTAGATCCTCCAAAGGACCAGGTGACTTCCCCATCTGGCTACAGATCCCTGGGCCAGCCAGCCGGGATAAAGGGGCACCTAAGCATGGAAATGGCCCTGTGCTGTGAGGACCTACTATGTGCAGGCAGCACCGCAGCCATCAAAGCAGATAAGACCCCTGGTCTCGAGAGGGAGGAAGCCAAATGTAGAAAACCTGCAGGTTCACATGTGCCAGGCAGCGTGAGTGCCCAGAGGAAAGTAACACAGGCTGAGAGGGCAGCAGGAGGGAGGCAGGGGTTTAGAGGGGCAGTCTAGGCAGATGGTACCCAAGAGGCCATGTTCGAACACAAACCTGAAAGGAGGAAGAACCACAAGACTATTTGGGTGTGGGTAGGTCATATTCTAGGAGGAAGACACAGCCAGTACAAAGGCTCCGGGGTGGCATAGTATTTGAGGTGTTCAGTGAACTGCAGGGAGGCCAGAGTGGCTGGAGCCCAAGAGAGTGATGATCACTGAAAGAGGGTGACAGGGCCACACAGCATGGAGTTCTGTAGGTCATCGTGAGGACTTTGGCTTTCTCTCCAAGGAGCTCTGGAAGATTCAGAGAGGCAGAGCAGGAGCCCCTGGCTGCCATGTGCTGTGGGGGCAAGTGCTGTCATCGAAGGGGATGACGATGGCATGGACCAGGTAGTGGTGTGCAGGGAGTGGCATGTCACACGCCAGAGTATCTGAAGGCAGAGATGGGTGGGTTTGTGGAAGACTGGCTGTGCAGCATGGGGCAAGCGGCCCAGGCTGCATCCGCAGCTCACGGGTCCAAGGAAGGAAGCAGAATGGGGACACGGGAGGAGCAGGTCCCAGCAGCAGCAGAACAGGCTCTGTCCCAATGGTGCTGGGGTGGAGCAACCCTTTGAGTGCATGGGGAAGCACCTGGCCCTCCCAGGAAGAGGCTGGAGGTGGTGCGCTTGAGAGTGTCCAACTCTGGATCGTTCCTCTACACACCTCAGCAAGGGCTGTGTGTTGGGGCCCATTTGAGAGGTGAGGAAACCAATGCTACTGGACAGTGAGCCTCCCGGCCACAGCCTTAAAGCTGTGGAAGGTCGGTGTCAGGCCTTGCCCGAGGACTTTCTGACACTCAGCCTACCCTACCTGAGCCCTGTACCCCAAGGGACTCAGCGTCCTCCCCATGGGGCCAGAGAGTGGGTGTGAGTTAGCAGCACCCACATTTTCCAGATGGGGTCTGTGAGGCCTGGGGAGCTTCAGGGACTTGCCCAGGGCCTCCTTCGTGCAGAGGTGCAAAATGAGACCAGAAAAACACAAGCGCCAGCCCCATGGCCCAGAGCAAGTCAGAGGCCCTGAGGAGTCCTACGTGGGTACCTCGGGACTCCTGACGAAGCCTTGATCTCAGAGAAGCAGTGGTGGGGAGAATGGGCGTTAACACTCACCCAGTGGATTAGTTGGCAGTTATTGAGGGGCTTTGGAACAAGCCCTGAGCCCTCCAAAGAGCAGCCAGTCAGCAGGTGTTTGTGGAAGGAGGGGCCCATGGGCAAAGAGGTGAATGAAAAAATAAGTAAGTGGTCAGAGCAAAGGAGCAACAGGTTGGAGGGGTCCAATAACTCAACCCCAGACAATCCATGTGAGCTCATTCATTCAGGAAATGCATCCTATGCCCAGGAGCCAAGGCCAAGCAGTAAATGAATCAAGGTTCCCACCCCTGTAGCAGTTACATTCTAGCAGGGAAGACAGAGCCGCCATAAAGGGGTAAAGTGTGAAGTGTATCAGATGGCGAGAAGGGCAGGGGAGGGGGAGGAGAGGTGTGCAGGGGTGCAGGGTTTTACATAGCATGGGGTGGGGGCGGGTGATTCTCACGGAGGAAGGAGCAGGCAGAGGATGAGAACAGACCCGGATATGAGTGAGGCTCAGGGCGCGTGACTGCAGGTGTGAACGGGACAAGCGCAGTGCTGGGTGAATGAAGGAAGAAATGGGTGAGTGCGAGAGCCCAGGCGTGGAGACCTGGCCAGATGAAGCAGTCCAGAATAAACGAATGGTCGGCTAACAATGAACGAGTGGACTGGTTGATAGATTCTTCAATGTGGCAGTGAATTAATGTAGAAACACGTGCCGGAAGCCTCTCTGCGTGGGCCATCCCCCTCCCCACCCGCCTGCCCCTCCACCACTACACCACCTGCCTCCTCACCCAGGTAGGACCCTGGGGTGGGGATGACTATCCCGGGCCCACCAGCCAACGTCTCCTTCGCCTTCTGACTCTCTGTCCCTGACTCTTCAGCCCTCTTGTGGCTGAACCTCCTGTCCCTGGGCCCCCACCCACCAGCCTGTGCAGACCCCCTTAGCGCCCAGGCCTGTCTTAGGCTCTCTCCATCCTCCGGGGGGCCCTGCTGAGTCCCATGCTGCTCCCCAGCCCCAGCCCATCTTGATGCCACCTCTCTGTTCCCCACAGGCACCATGCGGCCTGTGAGGCGCAACTTCTATGACCCGTCGTCGGCGCCCGGCAAGGGCATCGTGTGGGAGTGGGAGAACGACGGTGGCGCGTGGACGGCCTACGACATGGACATCTGCATCACCATCCAGAACGCCTACGAGAAGCAGCATCCGTGGCTCGATCTTTCCTCGCTGGGCTTCTGCTACCTCATCTACTTCAACAGCATGTCACAGATGAACCGCCAGACGCGTCGCCGTCGCCGTCTGCGCCGCCGCCTGGACCTGGCCTACCCGCTCACCGTGGGTTCCATCCCCAAGTCGCAGTCCTGGCCCGTGGGCGCCAGCTCGGGCCAGCCCTGCTCCTGCCAGCAGTGCGTGCTGGTGAACAGCACGCGCGCCGCCTCCAATGCCATCCTGGCCTCGCAGCGCCGCAAGGCGCCCCCCGCGCCGCCGCCACCTCCCGGTGGCCCCCCGGGCACACTAGCCGTGCGCCCCAGCGCCACCTTCGCCGGCGCCGCGCTTTGGGCCGCGCCCACCGCCAACACCACTGGCCCTGCCGAGCCTGCGCCGCCCCCCGCGCTGCCCCCGAGGAGCCCGAGCACCCCCGGTGGCGCGCCCACCCCGGGGCAGAACAACCTCAACCGGCCCGGGCCCCAACGCGCGACCGCCAGCGTGAGCGCGCGCGCCTCCATCCCGCCGGGGTAAGACGGGGCCGAGGAGGGGCCTGGGCTCACGCGCTGCAAGGGCCAAGCCGGGAGTGGCTGGGAGGGCTTGCACCAGGGCAGGGGCAAAGAATTGCAACGGGCGCGGCCAGCATTATGCAGTATTCGCTTTGCGCCGCGCATTAGCTGAGCGCCTTAGCCCTTCGGTAGTGGTCGCGCATCTGCATGCATGGGGTCCCCTGAGGTAGGACCATCCGCAGCCGGGTCTACAAACTGAGAGCAGAACCCGAGCCCTAACTTGCCCAGGATCTCAGAATTCAATGAGGCCGCCCATGCCAGCAGTACCAACCAAGATTCAGGTCCTTTGTTCACTAACCTGCTTGCCTGCACCTTCTCCTTTAGACACCCAACAGTTCCACAGGGTACAGATTGGGAGGCTGAGGCCGGGGGCAGGACAGTCTGTCTGAGGGCCACCCAGGAGAGAGTTGGGACAGGTGCCCAGACCTATAGGCTTCTGGAGTCTGGGCTATGCTGGCCTCAATATTTGGAGGCCTGAGGGTCTGTCTTACTCGGTCCCTTCCACCCAGAGCTCATTGTGGGGCAGCGGCAGACACCATGAGGGGCCTCTTTACCATGTTTAACTTTTGGCTGCACCAGAAATATGGACATCACTTTGGATTAATTCTCTGGCTTTCAAACTGGGCTGCAGAGAAGCTGAGAATGACTTGGAAAAGTGGCCAATGTGTCTCTGTGCCTGCTGGAACCCTGCTGGGGATCCGTCTTGCCAGCAAGGCTTCATTAAGAAGGGGAACCCAGATCCCACTAGGTTTGGGGATTCCTAGGTCACAGTGCCCCAGGCCCCAGGGTGGGAACTCAGGGAACCATTGCCAGCTACCATCCCAGAGTATGAACTTCGGCAATCTGAACAAAGGACCAGACCGGGAGGAAGTACAGGGAGAGGGAAGATGGGGCCTCTAGCTGGGACAGAGCTGAAGGGACCTGGTATGTACGTGGGGGTGCTGGGGGGAGGGCTGGCAGCACCAAAGCCTGCTGTGCGTGTGTGAATCACTGGGCAGTGATGACGTGAGCCCTACAATGCAGGCACGGCTATCACCTCTGGGGTGGACAGGGCAGGGCAGGGCAGAACGGGGAGCTTGGCCTGTACCGATGAAGTAGCTGTTAAAACGCCATGGACTTTCACGTCAGTTCTGCACATGCCTAGTAGATTGCCAGATGAAGTGGGTTTCTTAGTCATTGATGAACTTGGTGAAAGCCACTGTTCTAGGGCAGCTCAGGAATTATTTAGCTTTTCTCACTTGGTGTCAGTTCTCCAAATACGGACCAGGAGTGTGGGTTCACTGAGCAGAGAGAGACGGGTGAGGTCTACATGGTCAGGAAACACACAGGCAGACCGTGAGACGGACGGTGAGGACTGTGCCAGTCGGGTTGGGGGGAGCGTGAAGAGCAAGAGACAGGGAGAGAGAGACACACACAGAGGGTGCTCAGGGAAGATCCCCTGGAGAGGGTGCCGGATATGGAGAAGTGCTCTTCCAGGCTGAGTAACAACACCAGTATCTTCAGGGGCTTCCCAGAGAGCAGGGGCTGTTCAGGGCAGGGCCAGACGGGCAGACGCGAGCACAGAGGAACAGAAATAGGCAGAACTCCTGACTGTTCTAAAGCCCACACGGGCATAGAGGCACTCTTGTGGAGTAGTGTACGCTGAGGACTCTTCCCAAATGGGGTACAGAACCAGATTGTGGGGGCTCAAGGGAGCCTAGGTTGGTGCTGCCAGCCCTGGGGAGCTGTAGAGAGTGCTCAAGCTGTAGAGGGCTGCACAGAAGACAGATTTCTCCTTGGGGAGCTAATCACTGTCCCATCCTCTATGGACCTGCAGAAACCTTCTCCCCAGCATGTGAGCTCCCCCAGTCTACATTATTTTTCTTCCCCAGGCCCCGGAGCACTTCTGACCCTCCCTGAGCAAACCATTTATTTGCCTGGAGGTCAGAGGATGGGGAGGGGGACAGACAAGGGCCTCTTCAGGCCTCACCAGCCATATGCCCCCCACCCAGTGTCATCCCAGCCCTCCACCTTCAAAGGGGGATCCCTCCTACATATACATCTGGCTTAGCACTGGGCAGGCAAATGCAGGCCTGAGCTGTGGCTTGGCAGGGGCCAGGAAGACCCCTCTTCCTCATGGCTGAAGCTTCCTGTTGCCTGGGCAACGGAGGCCAGGCACAGCCTCTAATAGGAAAGGAGTGGAGTGAGCCCCCCCCCCAGGAGCCAAGCCTCCCTTGCCACCCTGGCCCCTGAGCCCCTTCTTGTCCCCACACCCCACCTCTGCCCCACGTTCTTATGTCTCTTGTCACTTGGCCTCCAGGACAAAGCTAGAGTAGCAGACGGGTGCCTGTCCCAGTGCTGGAGGCTAGAATTCCCACGTCAAGGTGCAGCCCTGCTCGGCTCTGAGGCGGCCTGTTGTCTGCCTGTCCTCGCGTCGCCCTCCCTCTGCAGCGCGCCTGTGTACAGATCTGCTCCTTCTGGGAGGACGCCCGTTCTGTTGGATCGGGGCCATCCTAGTGACCTCATTTTCTCTCAAGCGCCTTGTGAAAGAGCCTGTCTCCAAGTGCAGCGCTGTTCCCAGTCCTGGGTCAGGACCTCAGCCCAGGAAGCGGGTGTCTGTGGGTCCCCCCTTCACCACCCCATGTATTGGTCTCCCTCAGCCTCCCATCTCTTCCTGGCTCCACATCCCTCCCTGTCCACCTCTTGCTCCATCCTTCCTGTCATTTCCTGCAGCTCCTCTCTTGTGTTGGGCCCCCTGGCTAGGTGACTTTGAACAAATGACTTCAAGCCTCAGTTTTCCCCTCTGAGAAGCAGCTGTAATGGCCCCCTCTCCCAGATGTGGGCTCCACGGGGCTGACAGACCAGCATATGTGTTAAAGTCGTCGCAGATGATCAGTGAGCACTGGAAGGGAACAGCAGGAAGGCCTCGAGAGGAGGGTGGATCTGCCCAAGCCGCACAGCCCTCGAGGGCGGTGTGTCCACCTGGCTGGGGTTTTTTCCACTTGGTTGCTGCTGGGGTGTGCAGCCAGCTGGCAGCCCAGGCCTGGGGGCCGAGTTGGGTGGGGAGGATCTGCCTGTCTCCCAAGAGGTCAGCGTCCAGCGCTTTGGAGTGCAGCTGTGGGGCAGAGGAACCAGCCTCAGAGTTTCCGCCCCACGTGGTAGGTGGGTGGGGACGGACAGCTGCGGCCTGTCCCTGTTTCCTGACACTTTTGCTTGGGCCCAGCTTCAGGGCTCCGTCCTCGCTGTGTGACACTGCTGAGCTGATTGCCTTCCCTGGTCCTCAGTTTGTGTAGCTTAAGAAATGGACCTGGCCACACAGACCGCTGTCCAGCACAAGGCCAGACATCAAGATGTGTTGCCAGCCCACCCAGAGTGGCATCTGCAGATTTGCAGACCTTGGAGTCCCTAGACAGCCTGAGAACCTTTTCCTGTTTACTGGGCCCGGAGTGGTTCCTCCTTTTGCCAATAACTTGTTTATCTCGTTTTGCTTACACTTCTCTGGGCTGTTTATGGCTTCCTGATCGATTTTGCAAGCCTCTGTCACAGTCAGAGTGTTAACTCTTGGTCTGGCGTTTCCCCTGGGGGCCATATCTTCTGACTTTCCACATGGTATGTGTGTCTGTTTTTCATTAGTCAATTAGGCTGTTAATTGAACTACTGTAGGCTGTGCACCTAGAGCCACAGCAGAGAACTGTATGGATTGGATGGTCTTCCTCTGGAGCTCATGCTTAGCTGGGGGACAAACCAGACATAAAAATAGAAATCCTAGAATGTGAGAGAGAAGAGTACCTGTTAAAGAAATCAGAAAAAAAAGAAAGAAAGAAAGAAAGAAAGAAAGAAAGAAAGAAAGAAAGAAAGAAAGAAAGAAAGATCAGGAAGGGGAAGGCTGTAGGAAAAAAAGAGGGACATTACTTTATTTCTTTACAAGAATGTGATGTTAAATACATATTGCGTTTGAGCAGAAATGAATCAAAATTGAGAAGCAAGCCATAGGCTGGGGGTGTCACTCAGTGGTAGAGCACCTGCCAAGCATGGTGAGGCCCTGGGTTCCATCCCCCAGCGCTGCAAAAATAAGTAAAATGTTAAAAGTAGCGAACCCCTCAGGGAGCTGGGAGATGGGCGTCCTAGGGTAGGAGCAGCTTGTGCAAAGGTCCCGGCAGAAGCTGCAGGCTTTGTGTGTGTAGCTGACACAGCTGGAGCAGGGGGCACCTGGGAGAGAAAGCAGAGACAGGAAGGGCCCAGTGGCCTGGAGCCTGGCAGAACCCAGTGGGGACTTGGGCTTGTGCCCGGCGAAGATGGAGGGCACAGGCTAGGGAAGGACCCGTGTGACGTTTATCCCAGTTTTGCTTTGCACCCGGCCACCAGTCTGCAGCCAATAAAGCAGCACACCGTGCTGAGGCAGACTGCGTTGGTGGGAAGGTATTTTCCTTTTCAAGTTTCTTGCAGTGATTTTATATTTTTGTTGAAAAGAATCCATATTTTCTTTTGCCAACTCTTCTGTAGTTCAAAATCCTAATACCCCTAAAGGTACAACCCTAAAAGCTGTGCCCTGCCCCCAGCCCCAGCAGATCAGCCCCCCCCCTTTTCCTGGCCCCCATGGTGATGTGGCTCTTCTCTTCGCAAGGTCAAACCCCACGCTGCTCCCGCCACCACAGCCCCACCTGAAGCGCTTCCTGCCCTGCTCCCTGGGGGGCCAAACCGCACACCCTTGTGTGTACCACGTGGCTTCTGGGCCGTGGGAACCACCAGCCCTGCCCTCCCCAGTCCCGCCCTACCTGGCTCCCAAAAGGCCCAGAAAGAGGAGGGCAAAGAGCCCTTGGGCCTCCAGATAAAGCTGTACCCCAAATGCCAGTCACCCCTCTAGTATCTCAAAGGGATTTTTGTACCCTGGACTCCTCAGAAGGTGGGTGGGAAGCAGGAGTGATTGGTCCCATGGGACACAGAGGAAACTGAGGACCAGAAATGCTACAAGGCATGGCTAG